TTCCTGCCGTGCTCTCCCTCGAGGGCTGGACGCCGTTGGGGGAAAGACGCCGTCCCTCCCCAAGGAAAGACAGGGGCCCGGGAGAGGCCGGGGGCGCACTCTGTGTCCAGATTCAGGCGCGCCCCGTCCCACCCCCGACAACTTTGGGGCCTCCGCCACCGGGGCACTGACCTGGGTACGGCCTGACCCTCCCGAATGGGGTGGCAGGTGGGGGCCGCGGGCCGCGAGGGCGTCCTCCCCACTCGGGGCCAAGTACGTGGCCCGGGCCCACCGCGAGAACGCACCTGCAGCTCAGCGCGCGCGGGCGGCGTCGGGGCCCGGGGCAGCCGCGGAGCGGGTTAGGGAACAGCGCCCTCTCCCGGCGCGGGCCGGCACCTGCGCAGCGCACAGCCCGTTAGCGGCGCCGCGGGACCGGGAACGGCGGGGGCAGCTTGTGGTGAAGTCCTTTTACTGCCGGCGCCTGGGCCTGGGCCTGGGCCTCGGGGAGGAGGGGGCACCAACCCCAGTACCTAGTCACATGGCAGGCGAGGTGGACCGGGGGCCGGCCCACAGCCCTGCCTCCGCCCACACTGCTACGGAGAGGGAAGCTAGGCCTTTGTTCTGTTTGTCCCATAAAACCAAACGTGGCCATGGCAGAACTTCGGAAAACAACGCTCGCTGCACCTTCCCGTGTATCGCAGGCCAGGAACGAGCGCAGCACATCCTTCAGTTCCCACGTGACACGCGGCAAACTGTGTCATGTGTTTGCAAGAACAGGCCATGGCTGTCAGATCCAAGAGCACGTGTGTGACAGACATGCCACGCCCACACACAGCCGTCACATTTTAACGCGCAACCTTTCCAGGCCTCGTAGGCACTAGAAGTGCATCTGAAGATGCTTCTCTTCAGAAACGGTACCTCCAAGGTGACACTAAGGGAAAGTTGACAGGCTGGGCGAGCTGGCTCACACCTGTAATCCCAGCACTCCGGGAGGCCGAGGGGAGATCACTTGAGGCCAGGAGTTCTAGACCAGCCTAGGCAACATGGTGAAACCCTTTCTCTACTAAAAATACAAAAATTAGCTGGGTATGGTGGCCTGTGCCTGCAATCCCAGCTACTCAGGAGGCTGAGGTTCATGGATCACTTGAACCTAGGAAGCAGAGGTTGCAGCCAAGATAAAGCCGTTGCACTCCAGCCTGGGCAACAGAGCAACACCATGTCTCAAAAAAAAAAAAAGTAAACAGTGCACAGGTTGGGCTACATAAGCAAGAAAAAAAAAAAAAGCCCTCAGGATAGGAGTGATGGTTAATTCCACGTGTCAATTTGACTGGGCTAAGGGATACCCAGATGGATGGCCAGGTGTGTCTGTGAGGGTGTTTCTGGAAGAACTGGCATTTGGATGGGTGGGCTGTGTCAAGAAGATGGCCGTCAACAAGTGTGATGGGTGTCACAAAAGAGGAAGGGGAAGGGAGGGTGAAGTTGCGCTCTCTGCTTGAGTGGGGGCACCATCATCTCCTGCCCTTGGGAGACTGCTGCTCCTGGTGCTGGGGCCTTCCAGCTTGGACCAGGACTTAGACCATCTGCCCCCATTCTTGGGACTCTGGGTGTGGAGTGGAATAACACCACTGGCTTTCCTGGGCCTCCTGACCCTGTATGGCTGCCTGAGCCAGTCCCTCACAACAAATCTCATTCTGTGCATCTGTGGTGCCCTATGGTTTCTGTTCTCCGGAGAACCCTAATACAAGGAGAAAAACATCATAAGCAAAGTTAAAAGAGGAGCCAGAGCCAGGCACAGTGGCTCACACCTATAATCACAGCACTTTGGGAAGCCAAGGCAGGCAGATCACCTGAAGTCGGGAGTTGGAGACCAGCCTGACCAACATGGAGAAACCCCGTCTCTACTAAAAATACAAAAATTAGCTGGGCATGGTGGCGCATGCCTGTAATCCTAGCTACTCAGGAGGCTGAGCCAGGAGAATTGCTTGAACCCAGGAGGCAGAGGTTGCAGTGAACCAAGACAGCGCCATTGCACTCCAGCCTGGACAACAAGAGTGAAACTCCGTTTTGGGAGGGGGAGGAGCCAGAGAAATTATCTGCTACATGTGGCAGATAAAGGTTATCTCTACCATATAAAAAAGATCTCCGGGGTAGACACAGTGGCTCACGCCTGTAATCCCGGCACTTTGGGAGGCCAAGGCAGGCAAATCGCCTGAAGTCAGGAGTTTGAGACCAGCCTGACCAACATGATAAAACCCCGTCTCTACGAAAAGTACAAAAATTTGCTGGTGTGATGGTAGGTGTCTGTAATCCCAGCTATTCAGCAGGAGAATCACTTAAAACAGGAGGCGGAGGTTACAGTGAGTTGAGATCCAGCCACTGAACTCCAGCCTGGGCAACAGAGAGAGACTCCATCTCAAAAAAAAAAAAAGACAGATCTCCAAATTATCTTTCTTCTGGCTCCCTATCCCTTTCAAGTCAGTCAACCTAACAAAAATAAGCCAGTAGACAGACAACTAAGACGGACCAAGAGCCAATGGACATTTGCAGTGATGTTCAAAGACATGCACCTAGCTGGGTGCCTGGCTGCCCATACCTGTACTCCTAGCACTTGGGAAGGCTGAGGTGGGAAGACTGCTTGAGCCCAGGAGTTTGAGACCCGGGAAACATAGGGAGACCCTGCCTTTACCAAAAGTTTAAAAATTAGCAGGCATGGTGGCATATGCCTGTAATCCCAGCTACTCAGGATGCCTAGGCCGTATCACTTGAGCATGGCAGGTCAAGGCTGCGGTGACGCAGAGGGCTGTGATCATGTCCCTGCACTCCAGCCTGGGTGACAGAGTGAGGCCCTGTCTCAAAAAAAAAAAAAAAGGCCAGGCACAGTGGCTCACACCTATAATCTCAGCACTTTGGGAGGCTGAGGCAGGTGGATCACAAGGTCAGGAGATCAAGTCCATCCTGGCTAACATAGTGAAACCCTGTCTCTACTAAAACTACAATTAGCCAGGCCCGGCGGCATGTGTCTGTAGTCCCAGCTACTCAGGAGGCTGAGGCAGGAGAATCGCTTGAACTCAGGAAGTGCAGGTTGCAGGGATCTGAGGTTGAGCCACTGCACTCCAGCCTGGTGACAGAGCTGGACTCCACCCCCTACACCCAAATGAAAAAGAAAAGAAAAAATATGCCGGGCGCGGTGGCTCAAGCCTGTAATCCCAGCACTTTGGGAGGCCGAGGCGGGTGGATCACGAGGTCAAGAGATCGAGACCATCCAGGTCAACATGGTGAAACCCCGTCTCTACTAAAAAAAAATACAAAAAATTAGCTGGACATGGTGGCGCGTGCCTGTAATCCCAGCTACTCAGGAGGCTGAGGCAGGAGAATTGCCTGAACTCAGGAGGCGGAGGTTGCGGTGAGCCGAGATCGCGCCATTGCACTCCAGCCTGGGTAACATGAGTGAAACTCCGTCTCAAAAATAAAAATAAAATAAAAATAAAAATAAAAGAAAAAATATGATGCACAACCAATACATCCATCAACAGGAAACAGGTTAAGTGACGGCAGAGTCACACAAGGCAATGCTGTGTACCCACCAAAGAGAATTAGATCAGTCTGAGCAGACACGGAGCAATGCCAGCACTTTCATGTAACAGAACGTGCCACGGCCAACATATAACGCACAAATCCATTTTTATATTAATATCACCACAATAAAACTAGAAAATACCGAATGCTGGGAGCCGTCTTCCATGGGTATGGGATACAGGGACAGAGAGGGCAACTGGCACACCTGATACAATCCCAGGAAAGGAAAGCAGTTGGGATGTGAATTTTCATTTGTATCTGTACGGCTCTGAAAACTGCAGAAAACTTTGCTGTGAATACTTATAGCTGCAGTTGTATACACATACCTAATTATTTCCTGGAGGGATTTTTATAGATGTGGAATTTCTGGGGTAAGTGTGCCCAATGCTATGGCTTTTGGGTAATATTGCCTTAGTTTCACCAGTGGGAGGCCAGGGCCTGCGTCCTTGACTACTCTCCATGGTTGTGAGCGGACATTTGATTAGTGCTGTCTTTTTTAAACTTCATCAGCCAGGTGCAGTGGCTCACACCCGTAATCCGGGCACTTTGGGAGACTGAGGCAGGTGGATCACTTCAGATCAGAAGTTCAAGACCAGCCTGGCCAACGTGGCAAAACCCCATCTCTACTAAAAACACAAACATTAGCCAGGTGTGGGGGCCCATGTCTATAGTTTCAGCTACTTGGGAGGCTGAGGCAGAGTTTGCACTGAGCCAAAAGCGTTCCGTTGCACTCCAGTCTGGGCAGTCCGTCCACAGAAACAACTCAATCGTCAGTATGATAGCATCTGCCATTGTCCTCTCCCGCATGTGAACCACCCGTTGCGTCCCTGGCCTGTTTTCCCACTGTGGTGTTGCCCAAAGCAGCATTTCTTCTGTGGACCTGTAGACCTGCGGTCCATCTTACATCATGTTGTTTTTCATTTTGTTGGTTTTTTTTTTTTTTTTTTTTTTTTTTTTTTTTTTTTTTTTTTTTGAGTCGAAGTTTTGTCATGCAGGCTGGAGTGCAATGGTGTGATCTCAGCTCACTGCAACCTCCAGACCCTCTGCACCCAGGAGCAAGCACTTGGAGCCCAGGAGGCTCAGGGTCCTTGGGGAATCCCCAGGATCTGACTCCTGTAAGTAGGCATGGTCACTCACTTGGGCCTGGGTTGCATCTGGAGCATCAGTGAAGTTGGGAGAGCCAGACCTCATCCTTTCTGGAGATGTGGGATTGGACAGAGCTGGCCCTGGCTCAAGGGCTCAGACCACTTGGTACAGAACCCACCCAGAGGTGCAGATCTGGGGAGCAGCTGTGGACTCTCCACACTGTTGGGGAGCCTCACAGACCCACTCAAGTCCAGGGAAGTTTGCACTCTGCCTTTTTTTCCTCCTGGCTCAGCCTCCCACGTAGCTGGGATTACAGGTATGCACCACCATGCCCAGGTAATTTTGTATTTTTAACAGAGATGGGGTTTTTTCATGTTGGTCGGGCTGGTCTCGAACTTCCGACCTCAGATGATCCACCGGCCTCGGCCTGCCAAAGTGCTGGGCTTACAGGCGCGAGCCACTGTGCCCAGCCTGCACTCTGCCGTTTGCTTTTTGTTTTGTTTTAGGCAGAGTCTCGCACTGTCACCTAGCCGGGAGTGCAGTGGTGCAATGCTGGCTCACTGCAACCTCCACCTCCCAGGTTCAAGCCATTCTCCTGCCTCAGCCTCCCAAGTAGCTAGGATTACAGGCACACGCCACCATGCCCAGCTACTTTTTGTATTTTCAGTCAAGACGGGGTTTCAGCTGGGCATGGTGGCTCATGCCTGTAATCCCAGCACTTTGGGAGGCCAAGGGGGGCAGATCAGCTGAGGTCGGGAGTTCAAGACCAGCCTGACCAACATGGCAAAACCTTGTCTCTACTAAAAACACAAAATTAGCTGGGCATGGTGGCGCATGCCTGTAATCCCAGCTACTTGGGAGGCTGAGGCAGGAGAATCGCTTCAACCCAGGAGGTGGAGGCTGCAGTGAGCCAAGGTCGCGCCACTGCACTCCGTCTCAAAAAAAACATAAAATGGGGTTTCACCATGTTGGCCACGTTGGTCTCGAACTCCTGACCTTAGGTGATCCACCCGTCTTGGCCTTCCAAATTCCTGGGACTAGAGGCGTGAACCACCACAGCTGGCCCACTCTGCCTTTTCAAAACCACGCCTGCACAGGTGGTGAAGACTGCACAACTATGTGAGTGTACTTAATGCCACTAAACTGTACACTGAAAAACTGTTACAACAGTAAGTTTTATATGCATTTTATTATACATTTTAGGCCAGGTGCGGTGGTTCACGCCTGTAATTCCAGCACTTTGGGACGCTGAGGTGGGTGGATCACAAGGTCAGGAGTTCAAGACCAGTGTTGCCAAGATGGTGAAACCCTGTCTCTACTAAAAATACAAAAACCAGCTGGGCGTGGTGGCGGGCGCCTGTAATTCCAGCTACTCAGGAGGCTGAGGCAGGGAACTGCTTGAATCCAGGAGGCAGAGGTTGCAGTGGGCCAAGATTGCACCACTGCACTCCAACCTAGGAGACAGAGTGAGGCTTTAAACCCCCAAAAAAAAGAAACTTGAGAAATGCTAAGTGTACTTATTTGTTGAAGAGGAAGCTTGTTACATATTAGTAATGTGTTGGTGTTT